TCCAGAACTTTTTATTGTCAGTGACAGAATTTATATCAAGGTTACCATAATATGATGTTTTTGCTTGTCGCAGAATTTTCACACACCTATTTCTTTGCTTTTTAAAAGCGTTCCAGTTTTCAGAAGTATTATGCCTGTTTAATCTGTTACGTAATCTGTTAATAACTACAGCTAAGAGAAAAGAAGAAAACTCTGGTGACGATGTATGAAGCAAAAACATTGATGACCGAGAAGAAGATTGACAAATCAGAATTAAAATATTTAGTGTTAAGAAGAAGAATGGAAAGAATCATTGCTTGACTGATTGCAGAAATAATTTTGTCCAGAATTATTGCTTGACAGAAATATCCAAGTGTCAAAAAATATTTTCTGTACTTTCTCTCAAAAATAAATAGAGTGGCCCCTTCAGATTGGCTTTTGATGTGCTTTGATAATAAATACAAATGGTACAACACATAGATAGATCATCAAAGAACGAACAATAAATAAATTATAAAATTATGTCGAACAAAATCTCAACACCTCCAGTTGTACTAAGCAGCTTTCTTTCCAAGAAAAAATTTGTATTATACTTCTTCATATTTATATTCATTATATTTAAGTAAAAGTACTCAATTAAAAACGTTGTCTGAAAAGGTAGAAAAGCAAACTGCAATCATTGCCAAAAAGACTTGGAACACCCAGCAATTTGTGTTGTGTTTTTATATTTTTCAATTCTTTTCCCAGATACTACTATTTCAGCAACCAATTCCCCCTCTAAACGATGTTGATGATATAGAAAAATATCATAGAAGTCACAGAAAAAGCGTTTTTTCTAATCCCCTATGTCGTTTTGTAGTAAACTAACATTGTTAAAAGGGGGGAAGATGAATGGCTCAATTTGCCCTTGGAAACTGACATTAGTGTACCAAGACTTTTGGCAAGCATTGTGTATTATGAATAGAAGACCTACTTTATATTTAGATATGTCACAGAATTGTTATGCAACAAATAGTAAGTCTGATTGAAAATGAAAAAAAATTCCTATGTAAAAAGGTTTGGGCTAAAACAAAAAAAATTTTGAAAGCCCTATAATAAAAAGATAGTACACCATGTTTGAGAAAAAAACTAAATCTTAAATAATTTTAGGGAAAAAAATCTTGTGAGAATGATGCAAGGCAACCATACTTCTGTTAAAAATAAACAAGAGTGTGGATTTCTTGTTATATGATGCAATAATCACCAATGACTACTAATAAACACAAATAATGGTACACTAGACTTAAACAACAAGTAGTTAACTATAACTGGCTACCATAAAAGAAAAAGTATTACATTGTTTTCTAAGTAACAGCAAAATAGATATTTAAAAGCATAAAAGCAAGTATGTATGCTCCTCTTTAAATACAACTAATCAATAAAGTAGCATGGTACAAAATGAAACTCAAACTTAGCAAAAAGAATGGCTTTAAAATACTGCAGCTATTTAAAAGCATTGAGTCATGGTAAATAGGCCTTCTCTATAGGGGGTCATTTGGTTTCAGGGTGATCCCTGCTGTTTCATGTGACAACTTGATATCTGTTGTTGACAACTTGCTTTTGATGAAAATTGTTTTGTCAATCAGTACGAGGTGAGTTCATATGACCAGTTCAGGCTCAGCCAATAAAATCGCAGTCATGAAAATCATGACTCAGCGGATTTTGGCACTTAGGGTATACCCAATCCATTTATCATGA